GCAGTGCCAGGGGCCAGGGAGATAGCTCAGTAGAATAAGCGCTTGCCTGGCAAGCGCAAGGGCCTGAGTTCAATCCTTGGTTCCGCAAAAAAACAAACCCAGTGCCAGCCATGTGGGGTTCGAGAGGTGACTGCTAGATGGGCAAGAGAATGGGTGCCCATGAAGCACAGAACTAAGTGGCCTCCCTGGAGGACTGCATGACAGAGCACATCCATGAACTCAGCCTGATTACACCTAATCCCCTTCTCTCAGCCAAAAACTTTGAAACATTTCCTGCCAGCAGATGAGGGACTGCTTCTCTCAAATGTCTAGTCCTGTTTGATGTTGCATATCTGCTTTCTGAGGTTCAGTTAACTGTAGTTTGAAAATACTAAATTGTAAATTGCAGAAATAAGTAATTTGTGAATTTTAATTTGTTACAGTATAGTAAGATTGTTCTACATTATTAGTTATTGTGAATTCATTTCTGTGCCTAATTTATAAATTAAACTTTATCGTAAGTACAGGAAAAAACAATATATGAAGTTTGATAGTATCCAGGTTTCGGGCATCCACTAGGGGGTCTTGGAACATATCCCCAACAGGTAAGGGTCCCATTGAATACAGTACATGTTAATAAACACCTACAGTGTGCCAGACATTACTTGTCATAAAATCTTTTACTTGGGTATTACCTTTAAATTGTGGTTTTAACTTTTATTCTGTTAAAAATTTGCTATTAATATTCAGCATATATTTGATTATCTATCATGAGCAAATATTTATAATTTGGGAGTAATGTTCATATATGTGGAAAGAGCTTTTTATAGATTCAAACTTGATAAGTAAACTTAAAACTTGATAAATAAACCTAAAACTTTAGATCTGGGAGAAAGGACCAGCTGGTGGTGGGCATGAACTAGCAAGGTGTGGCGGCATGCATTGGGGTACCCATTCCTTATGATTGGATGCAGCAGTCACCCTCAGGCATGTGGAGGAGGGGCCACCATGAGTTTCTACTCCTGGTCTGTTAGGTGTTTATGTTGCACATTGCTAGAAATTGAACATTGCTAGAAATATTTTTCAGAATCATTTTTGTGGTTGAGATGCATAGCCCTGCAGCTTTACTTGCTTGCTAGAGCCCCTTTTCTTGGGAAGCAACAAGGAATCTAGTTTTGCAGCAGTCAGGGGCACTCTGGCTTGTGCAGAATGGTGCACCTGCCTAGGAAAGTGCAGAACATCAGAAAGAACATCAACCATCAGGGATCATCAGAAGAGAGGGTTTCCATTTTGAGACCCAGAGAAGAGGGCGTGGAGTAGGCAGCAGAGCTATAGAGTACGGATATTAGCTGGATATTCAAAGTGAAACAAATTGAAGAAGACGAAAGGTTTGAATGCCAGAAATACCAGTAATTGTGTTGTGGAAAGGTGCAAAGCTAAATGGAGTGGAAGAGATATGGAGCAGGGAGTCCGGGAAATGGACGGTAAAGTGAAGGTATGCATTTCTTTATACTGATTATAATCAGAGAGTTTGTGTTACTTCTCCTGGTTTGGATTTATGGTCTCAATTCTTTTGAATGAATGGTTGGGGAGGAGGTTGTAGAGTATATTCTCAGTAGGTGAGCACTGATTCTCAGGGTCTTACAGAGAAAGGCCATTGAGCAGATGGAGGAGCACAGGCTGCAATTTCTGCCTGTGTGGTTTTCAGCAGGTCACGTAGTCTTTGAATAACATAATCAGTCTGGGCAAAAAAGTAACATGGAGCTCAGGATGTTTTGGGCTAGTGAAACTACTCTGTGTGGTACCATAATGGTGGACATATGTCATTATACATTTGCCGAAACCCATAGAATACACAACACCAAGATTGTATACTTAACCCCAGCTGTGGTCTTTAGGAACTAATGCTGTCTTAGTAGAGGCTCTTCAACCATACCAAGTGTACCACCACAGTTGGAGACATGAATAGTGGCCATACATTTGCAGGGAGGGAGTATAGGGGAAACCTCGGTACCTCCCACTCAGTGTTCCTGTGAACCCAAACAACTCTTAAGACAGTGGAATCTTAAGAAAGTAAAATCGGGCATGGAGGCGCATGCCTGTTATCCCAGCACTGAGGAAGCTGAAAACAGGAGGATCACTACAAGTCTGAGCTGTATAGTGAGACCCTGTACCAAATACATAAATAAATAAAATTAAATTTTTTAAAAAAGTAGAGATAGTCCTGTCAGGATATAAAGTCAATAGGGCCAGTCAAATAGCTCAGCGGATTAAAGTGCCTGCAAGCAGGTGCAGGGGGTAGGGGTTCAATCCCCGGGCCTGCCATGCTGGCCCTGCCCCTGGGGCGCACTGAGAATACGATTGAGACTGGGCGTAGTGGCGCGCGCTTATAATCCCAGCACTTGGGAGGCTGTAAACAAGTGGATCACTATGAGTCTGATCTAGTAGTGAGACCCTGAGCACCCTTGTAGGCCCTTCCCTAAAATATAAAAAAAAGCATATAAAGTCGAAGAATTTTTAAGAACAAATGCAAATTAGGTATATGTAATTTTCACTCCAAGGTGAAACAAATTTAGAATTGATAGCAAATGGAAACATTGACATATTAAACCTTTTATTGACTATGAAAACTTGCCTTCTTAATAAGGAAGTTTAATTCAAATCTATGATATTCTGTTATTATTTTAAATATGAGATTATCTTCTATTTCCCCCAGGGAGTGTATTACCAAATTGGTGATGTTGTTTCTGTGATCGATGAGCAAGATGGAAAGCTCTACTATGCTCAGATCAGGGGCTTTATCCAGGACCAGTATTGTGAGAAGAGTGCAGCGCTGACGTGGCTCATTCCCACTCTGTCTAGCCCCAAAGATCAGTTTGATCCTGCATCCTATATCATAGGTGAGTGGAACAAATGGTGTGCTCTGTTGAAGTTAACTGTTTGATGCCGATGGAAGCAATGTGTTAGTCTGCTTCAGCTGCCATGACAACATGCCACAGTTTGAATGGCTTGAAGGACAGATGTTGGAGGGTGGGCATCCAAGTCTAAGGAGTTGTCAGGATTGGAAGGTAGTGAAGCCCCATTTCCTGGTGTGCAGATGGCTTCCTTCCTGCTGTGTCTTCCTCATACCTTTTCTGTTGTGTGTGCTTGTGAAGAGAGCTCTCCAGTGTCCTGTCTTGTAGGGATACTAATCCTGTCAGATCAAGGGCTTCACTTTGAAGAGCTCACTTTCAGTACCATCTCGTTGGGGAACTAGGCCATTCACAGGTGACTTTAGAGGCGAGGGTATGCAGTCCATAGTGAACACTAGGTACAAAACAGGTAGCTTTGTTGGAAATATGATAGCATATTTCATATACCTGGGGTTGGGGTGCCACTAGTTATTTTAGGCTAGAGCTGTGCATACCTGCTCAAAAATGATGTGGATAAGATTATTCTTAGTGACCCTAAGTTAAACTGTACAAAACTAACCTATTGCACAGGAACTAGATTATTTAGGTTATTTTAAAAAATATATTCAACAGTTATTTTTCAGATAATGTCCTGTAAAGTCTTACACTATGCCTCCTTCCATATACCATGTATTATCCTAGACCTTTTATCATGGATGGTTGAAGTGACAACAGTTGTACTTCTGATCATTTTAAGGCTGTCAAAAGAGGTTGCAAAGTTATTGATGTGAAACTCAAAAGAAGTTACCAATTAATACAGTTGAAAGTATTTTACCCTGAGCTTTTCATTCCTTCTCTAATGAGCACACATTACTTCTGTATCCTGAGAAAAGGGAGTACATTTTTTCCTTTAGCGAGAGCTCCAGGGATGAGTAACATCCCATTGTTGTTCTCACCTGCTTTCAAGACTGGTACCTAGCCAAACACTTGTAGTTCTGCTTAAAAACTCAATAGGCTTTCATTTACCTTATCTGTGGAGCAGGATCCCAGCAGAGGTAGTGCAATGTCAGAACCGAGCCCGGCTCCTCTCCTACGTGCTGTTAATCCCCAAGCTCTGAAGTGCTGCTCTGTTCTGGAGGAGACAGCACAGTGTGGAATTCAGAACAAAACTCCAACCAGATTAGCTGGGTTCACAGGCCTGCCTGCTGCCAATCAGCTATGGGACTTTGAGGAATCTTTTAATGTCCTTTGCCTCACTTTTTTCATATGTAAAATTGAAATAATAATAGTGCCCAGCTGAGAGAATTGCAAGGATTTAAAATATCGTTACATACAAAACACTTAGAACAGTGTATAAACTCTACATGAAGGTTCAGTGTTGTGCTTAGAATCTCAGGAGAGTCAATGCGTTGGAAAGAATGCCATATACCTTAGACAGTCGAAGTAGAGAAAAATGACAAGTAATGCAGAGCACATGTCTCAAGGGCTAATATTAAGTCACCCCAGAGTGCTTTCTCCTGGTTTCTAAGAATGTTCACATTTTATGACACTTAGGTATACATCCAAAAACATGTTTAATCTTGCCATTGGCTGCCTTCTAGGGCCAGAGGAAGACCTTCCAAGAAAGATGGAATACTTGGAATTCGTTTGTCATGCACCTTCTGAGTATTTCAAGTCAAGGTCATCGCCATTTCCAACAGTCCCTACCAGACCAGAGAAGGGTTACATATGGACTCATGTTGGACCCACTCCTGCAATAACTATTAAGGAAACTGTTGCCAACCATTTGTAGTTACAAAGTTAAGGCTGGGAATGTGTCTTACTGGTAGAGCACTTATCTAGGATCTGTAAGGCCCTGGGTTTCATCTCTGGCACACAGAAAGAAAAACATTACCTGGTTCTCCTGTTTTGTATTTATACTACTATGAAATGTTCTACTTGTTTCCTTCATGGAATTGTTAAATGAAAAAATGACTAAAAAGATTTTTACTTATTATCCAGAAATCATTAACTTTATTACTTATCACTTGGGAAAGTACAAGGGACAGAAAAGAATGAAATGTAGTTGCAGGTAGGCATAATATTCTCTATGTTTATCTTTCTAGGCAAAGACTGCATTTCCAGGGAGA